GAGAGAGAGAGAGAGAGAGATTTATTTTTATTTTTATTTTCTTGTTTTTTTTAATTTGAAAATCAGAAACAAATAATAAAAAAGAGAAAATCATATTAATATGGGTAAAACCGTTATTTTGAAAAAAGTCAGAACAGATTGGACGAAAAAAGCAACAAAATGAAAGTTTTGGACCACTGGTGCAACTCTAAATATTTTTAGACCAAAATGATAATTTTAAGCAAACCGCACGAACATTTATGCAGTTTAGTCATTTCAATAAAATCTGGCAGTAGATTGAAAGAATAAAAAAAATAAAAAACTTTTTTACGAAAATCTAGAGATTGACAAAAAAAAAAAAAAAAAAAAAATCAACTTTTTATTTTTATTTTTTATTGATAAGCGTCAAGACTTGAGAGTTGAGAGACCATAAAACCAGTATCAGTTTTGCCATCGATCATGAATCGCACTTCCTCTTTCAATTCAATTGCGATAACATACCAACCGATATCATGCAGATTTTCGTGAAAACCCTAACCGGGAAGACGATTACTCTCGAAGTCGAGAGCAGTGACACCATTGACAACGTCAAAGCCAAAATCCAGGTCTAATTTTGTTAATCGGTGTCTCTTTTTATGCATGTACTTTATTGATTTTTTTGATCTGTCATCGCTTATTGTTTATTTCTTCTGCCGATTCTATTTTTAGCTTTTTGCCCTGTGTTTGCTTAGGCCTGAAATTGCTTTCACTGGTTTACTAATGAAAACTAGGGTTTTATAGCTTACTAGGGTTTTGCGTTTTTCACCTTATAGATGCATTTATCCCTTGTTCTTTGTAGAATCCTGCAGACGAACTTACAGATGTTAGATTTACGATTTGCATCCAGGAAACCTTGTCGATCCAAGCCTCTCCTACTGCGGCAATTAGTTTTGAATCCTCGCATTAAACTGAATAGTTCCTTGAATCAATTAATCAGTTTAGACCTCTTTCACGCACCAAGATTTTGAATTCCAGTAAGACGCTTAGAAATCCAAATAACCTTCGGACCCTAGATATGAGAATTTGATTGTGAATGAACTTGAAGAACATAAAAGGATGATTGATTGATCAAAACATGAACACCAATTGAACAAGAAACCATTGATTGATCACAATTAGGGCTTTTAACATTTATCTCATTATGAGTTCACTATCATGAACAAAACAGGGACAGAGTAAGAAATAACAAGCTAAACAAAAGGGAAGATAGAATTTTCTATTTGCAGCTATGATTGTCAATGACTTGATTCTGTTGTATCATTAGATTTTGTTACATATTGCTAACCGTCTTATTGGAATCAAAAAAGGACAAAGAAGGTATCCCACCAGACCAACAGAGATTAATTTTTGCTGGAAAGCAATTAGAAGATGGCAGAACTCTTGCTGATTACAACATCCAGAAGGAATCCACACTTCATTTGGTTCTTAGACTCAGGGGAGGAACTATGATCAAGGTCAAGACTCTGACTGGAAAAGAAATTGAAATTGATATTGAACCAACTGATTCTATTGATCGGATCAAGGAAAGAGTTGAAGAGAAGGAAGGAATTCCTCCTGTTCAACAGAGGTTTGCCACTTTCTTTCATCTTAGTTTACTCTTTTAAAATTGGAAATAAATATGTTGGAATTAAAAAAAGGAAATTGGTTTGCCTGATGGAATGGAATGGCCCATTCCTTGAGTGAATGTGATTCCTTCCATTTTGTTCATTTCCATTCCTTAGCTTGAGGGGTTTCTTTCCATTCTGTCATGGAATGGAATGAAACTTTGCAATTTTGCATAAATTACAGTTTAATTCTACTTTTTCATTATAATCTTATTTGGGTTTTAACGAGCTTATATTATGTACATACAAAATTATTAAATATGTGTTTCAAATTTTGATATTTTCAATTTTAATAGCTTTTGATATCTCATTATTTTCAAATTGTATTGAAGGTAATATATGTATTTATAACTTGTTTTGCTGAAGTAATGAATTAATAATAAAGACATGAAATGATGATTTACACCCTTTAACAAGAATCATTTGCTTATTTTTTATACTTTTATACAAATGGCTGATTTAAAATAAGTTGTAACAGATTGGTTGCTGTTTTTATCCTTATAGTAAATATAAAAAAATCAATAAAAGTAGATTGCTATTTTCTTATTATTAAACCTTAATAATATGAGATGAATCTTTTGTAGGCTGATTTATGCTGGGAAACAGCTTGCAGATGATAAGACTGCAAAAGACTACAATATTGAAGGGGGTTCTGTTCTTCATCTTGTTCTTGCACTAAGGGGTGGTGCCAAGTGGTAAGTGGTAAGTGGTAACAATCAAGAAAGACTACATGTTTACCAAAGTTTAGTAATGAAACTATGTATATGGCTGCCTACCTTAGTCTCATTTGACTTTTTTATATTTTTATTTTATGAGCATTTATTTGCACTTGATGTCATTTGAAAACAAATTGAGCTTTTATCCTATATCTTTGCTATATTTTGTTAATTTGTTAAGTTTAGTATATAACTAATGTTGCAAATAAGTTGAGATTTTATCAACTTATTCTAGCTAAAATTCAATTCACCTTGACCTTTAGTTGTTAGCTGAAAGGCTAGTAAGATAGCTTATAAGCTAGCTGATAAAAAATGATGTTTGGTAAACCACCTGATAAGATAGCTGTAAGATATGATATGATATAAAAGAGCGTTTAGAAGAATATGTTTTTTATAATTAATTAAGGGTGTATTTGGTTTTTTTTTTTTTAAAAGCTTTTGAAAATTTTTTATCAGCTAGTATGATCATTGAATGCATCAACAAAAACATGCAATGATATATGAAAACACTTGTGGCAAATCACACAATGATATGGCAAATCACACTCTGCTATCTTAGTAACAATTAGCAATAAGCAAGCATATTGAAAATAAAATAAAAAATAGAAGATAAAAAACATGAGAAGATGAAAAAATTGCTACCTTAGCACCAATTTGCTTGTATACTAGAGTGGCTTGACTTTGACCAGTATACTAGAGTGGTTTGACTTTGACCAAATAAGGTCACATTTATATATAGTAGCTCAACCCCCAAATGCGTGATTGAGGCCAATTTATGTCCAAGACTAAGGCTACATGTCTCTATGTATATATACCATTAAATAATTTTTCTAAAGATAATCTTGAGAAAACATCTAAACGGTCTACAGTTTAATAGAGAAATTTACACCACACAATGACACAAGAAATACATCGTAGATTTGTCTTTTGAATTTGAAAAATGATAGTGACACCAAGTTTTTTGGAAGCCTCTATTTGAAAACGTTGATTATAGATATTTTATGTCAAATGATATCACCCGATAAAAATAAAATATAATGAATTTATTCATTAAAGTTGTGGATTCAAACTGGCGGCTCAAGACCGAGGGTACAAGTCCAGCAAGAGCAGACAAGGGTTTTTTGTTGTTATAAATAAATGGGATTTTGACAAAAAGGTCCCTAACTTTGTCACTGTTTTGTCAATATGATAATTTTTTATTCGTTAATGTTAAAGTTTGTCAAGTTATTATTATTATTATTATTATTATTTTTCATTCTTATCCTTGTTTAGTGTTACACAAGTTTTCAAATTATCATGAAATTAAATCTGCAGACAAATCTTTTAAGTTGATATCTTTTATTTACATTTTTACCATAAATATGTTTTTTCGTATTATACATATTTATATAGAAAAACATATTTATATGCAATCTTTTTTTAACTAAACATTGTATAAATATGTTTTTTTAAAGTATAAATTCATATTTTACGTTTTTTAGAGATATAAACTATGAAGACATTTAGGTACTGTTTGATAGTTGCTCTCTGTGAGAGTGTTGTCTGGAAAAGTTTTCTGACTGAGAAAGAAACCATGTTTGATTGTATATCAGATTGACTGTGCTAAATGATGAAAAATGATCATATTACTCTATTGTTTTATATTGTGTGAATGAAGTTGCTGAATAATTATAAAAACATACAAAACGTCATACAAAATCAAAATTACACAATAATCATTTAAAAATCCAAATGCAAAATATCATACAAAGTAATTAAACATCAATCAATTAAAATCTAAAGAGAATGTGCATGAGGTTGTTTGTAGTTTATTGTTTTTTCAAGTTGATGTTACATTGTTATTCTTTCTAACCATTTTAGTTTTTTTTTTATAACCCAACGTGTGATTCTTGACCCGGTTTATGTCGATAGTGGTGGGATGGATGAGATTTTTTAAATTAAAATAGGATGGTGGTGGTGCTGTTAAAAAAAAGAATTAATCCAATAAAAATGAATTAAAAAAAACTAACTAAAAGAAATTAATAATCCAATAAAGTAATATTTATTAATATATAAATAATACATATTATAAATAATATTTATTAATATATAAAAATCTATTAAAAAAGAATTAATTCATAAGAAGGAAATAAAAAAAATGAATTATTTAAAATAAATTAATAACCCAATAAAACAATATTTATTAACACATAAATATTATATATTAAAAATAATATTTCTTAATATATAATAATCCAGTAAAAAAGTAATAAAAAATAAAAAATAAATTTAAAAAAAGTTATTTAAAAAAATATAATAATCCAAGAAAGAAAAAAAAGACAAGGTTTGTTGCAAAATTATCTTTCCAACCCATTCAGCCATAAAAATATGGTTTTGGAGCTTTCCGGAAAAGACATATCTTACCGGGAACGACCCATTTTTTTTGTGTAAATCAAACCGTCTTTCTGATTCATTCAGCAAGAAATATATGTTTGGACCTTGAAAATGTCTATCAAACGAGACCTTATTGTAGAAAGATTAATATATTTAGAAGGTGTTTGACAAAGCTTATTAGCTTATAGCGGTAACAAAAATGAGTTTTTAAAAAAAATGTTTGACAAAGTTTATCCGGTGTCAAACCGCTATAAACTGATAAACCATTGTTAGTGTTTGGTAAAAAAAAAACTGTTTATATGAGTAAAATTACGAAAAAGAGCTTCCTTTTATATTGTAACTTATTTAACATAATTGAAAC